CGCGCTATGCGGCAATTTGGGCCCTAATAATAATAATACTATTTTGGGGTCTTGAATACTTGCTAATAATAATACTATTTCTGAGATTTCGGTGATACAACTATACTGTGAAATACACCACAACCTGAATCCAATTTTTAAGGCCTGTATAGTAGATGAATAGAGTTCAACACATCACATGGTTTTGAGACTGAGCTAGGTCCGTGGCAGTTCTGTGTTTATGGTTTCAGAGCAATTTTTTGCTTCTTCTTGCAGGTGAAGGTGTCTAGGCTTGTTGTACACGAGTTTCTCACTCAATTCGACTTCTGCTGGCTTGTGTCCCGTAGCATTACTCAGCGTTATGTGCCCATTGCCAGAGTCGCAGTATTAGGTACCCGTCTTGCGAATGTCGAGACATTTCAGCAGCTTCCTAAGAAGGCACCGACATTTTCAACCTAAATTTGGAAACAAGCTTCAACCGTAATCCTAGGAGGCAGCGCCCTGCGGGTTCACTTTCCGGGTTGGTTTTGTGTCGTTTTTTTCGGGGGTTGAGTGTTTTTTGGTATTTGGAAATATTTTTTCTGGGTAAGGGTTTTGGATAGTATGTGTACTGACCTTGTTTTGTGTGGTGATGACTTGCTGCTCTTGCGATTGCCACTACCGTTGTGTATGTTATGCGCGTGGTGTTTGATGTTGTGCGGATTCTTCCGATTTTGTGGTACTACTGCTACTGTCGCATGTCGCCCTTAGTCTTGTTACTGCTTCTGCGATTGCTATGACAATGGTGTGTGTAACGTCCGTCATGAATGTTCCGCAAAATCTCCAGTTGTCTGACTTGAAACTTAGTTAGAGCTAGTTACCAATGCTATTTTGGGGGCTCCGTATTGTTATAATTCTAGTATAATGGGCCCCAAAGTCGCTAGTCTAAGTATTAAGGCCACTGACCTTCCTTTGTAGGATTCCCTCTTATGGTTTCCTGAAAATGAAGCTCCAAAGCCCTACATGGAACGTCATTAAGCTCCCCCGCCACCCCACCCCACCCCTCCCCCCAAAAAAAGGCAAGCAGAGCACATCACGGCAAACGGCACAGAAAGAAAAACACAGAAAGCGCAAAGCGCGGGATAGCAAACACCATGGTTTCAGAAAGTCAGGAAAATAACACGCAGGCCACGTTTTTGGAGGTGCGGACGAAGTCGCAACCAAAAATGTACGACAAAAACTCACGTGAGTTTTTGCGCAAAAAAAGGAAATGGAAATTAGAAAGAATTTTTTGGCTACGAAGAGGCGAAATCTCGCGCAGGACGGTGTTTCCCAAGTGAGGGAAAGGCAGCACTGAAGGAGAGGGACATGCAAAAGCACATAAACAGCAGCAAAAACCACCCCGGAAAGTGAACCCGTCAGGAGGCAGCGCTTTCACTGAAGGCCTCACGCGATGCAAAATGACCCTAAAGATGCAGTCTAGGCAACTTTTCACTGTCGCTTCCAATGCCAATGTCCGAAGTGAAGGGGCTTCTGAAACGACGAAACGCCGCCAAGCAGCAGAACTCCCAGCTATTGAATTCCCTGAAGGTTTAGGGTTTCGGGTTAACCCTAACACATACACTCGAGAACCAGTGCCCCACCAGTACCTACGTCTTGAAGCACGAACAGCCCCGAGAATGCTGAAGACTGAAACATCTTCAACTTCAAGCCCAAAGCCTTGGAGCAAAGCAAAATGAACCGACTCTTCCTACGAGTATTGAAACCCTAAAGAGTGTTTGAAGATCTTGACAAGGCCTGAAACTACCCTAACCCTTACGGCCCAAATCCCCGAACCCCTCCACCCGCAATCATCGCAATCATAATCTTAACACTCAGAATACTTACAATAGTAACAATGACTCTTGTACCAATGATAATAGTAACAATGACAGTAATAACTACGATAATAATAGTATTAATTATGGAAACAATATCAATAATAACAGTAATAAAATCGAAAATAGAGGAAAATGATACTGATAGTTGTAATGAGACTGAGGATAAGAGGAACAATAATAATAATAATAAGAAGAACAAGAAGAACAAGAAGAATCACAACAACACGAATATGAGTAATTTTTTAAAACCTTTTAATAATCGCGGTAGTAGTCGCCATCCCGAGCATGGTGGGAGCTTTCCAGGGACCCTAAACCCTAAACCCTAACCCCTAAACCCAAAACTCCTAAACTCAAAACCCCTAAACCTCTAAATCCCTAAACCCCTAAACCCCGAAACCCCTAAACCCCTAAACCCCTAAACCCTAAACCCTAAACCCTAAACCCTAATCCCTAAACCCTAAACCCTAAACAGGGCTCTTCGAGGAGGCTTCCAACGAGCTACGTCTCCTCTGGGCCCTTGCGGCCCTGGAACCCAAGGCTCCGAGTTACGAGTTTAGGGTTCTAGGGTTTTGGATTTAGGGGTTTAGGTTCTAGGGGTTTTAAGGGTTTAGGGTTTTGGGTCTGGGGTTCAGGGTTTAGGGTTCTAGGGTTCTAGGTTTTGGGTTTAGGGGTTTAGG